CTTGTTAAGGTTAGTTAATTCAGAAACTAAAATAAAAATTATTTTTTTCCAACTCTTTTGGACTTCATTTTCCATCAAATTGCTAAATTTTAATTATTCAACTCATACGTAGTTTTACTGATGCACTATATCCTAACTTCGTCCAATTTTCACAACTTATTCATCTACTTTTGTCTCCAAATTACATGTCTAAATCATTGCCTCTGGTAGTAAAATTGCAGCCAACAAAATAGATTACCTAGGTTAAGATCACTCATGACGTAACTACTAAGGATCAAGGTAAAATTATACATGAAAGAAAGGATTTAACTCCACTCCGTTATAATCTGATGAACCTTTTGCTCTTTCTGCGTATGTCCCCTCTTTTCATACTTCCTCTTCTTTTTCTCTATCTCGTTCTATTCAAATTGCTCTCTTTTCCCATACTTTGCTTGTTGTTGCACGCTATGTTCACAACCCCTAATCGCTGTTATTTCCTTATTTTTCTTTAGATTTGTTGCAGCTTGCAGCCCTTTGCAGCTTTGAACTTTTGGCCCACACTTTTTTAAAAAAACAATTGGTCATTAAAATATACCAACAATCTGCCTCTCCATTTTTTTTAAACCAAAAGACATAAATGACCTTATATCAACGTAGGGTATTACATCCACCATGATAGGTTCACCTGATATTGTATTGGATCCTTAAGTTTAAGCAAATGAGACCAGAAGAACGATAATTGAATATTGAATATGGATTTCACTCAATAGTTCTTTCCTTTTGTGATAAATATCAAAAGTTTACCTCACTAACCCATGGCAGTTGAGTATTCTAAGAAAATCTTAGTCATACTAAAATCATGGAATGTGAAGGACATGAAGGATCGACACAAAGTACACAGAGCATGACTACCTGATGGCATTTAGGGGAATATGTTAAAAGTAGACACATGTTGATGCAGGTGCAATGGAAGTTAGATGATTTTTCATGCTCTCTTTTCATTATTATATCAACCCAAATGTACTTGCTACTTTCAAGCTTCGTTTTCCATATTTTGCTTACAACAAGAACTACTCTGGTATGACATGACTGCTTTCTTCTCCTTCATTAAAGAAATTAAAGTTAAACTACCAGATAAATGAAGATACTAGTTGGCCTAATTTAAAGTTCCAGAGTTTAAAGCAAAGGACTCGAGTCTCGACATTCATAAAAGATTTTGAATTTGCTTTTCCATGTGAATTCTTCATAGTTTTTAACCAAAGTTTCAGGCCATGTGTAGGTGCCACTTAAAGGGCATCCCAACTGCTGAATAGAATTCCAAGATTAAACTTACCCACATATTTTTAAAAGAAAGAGTAGTAGTATATGGAGAAAACAAATTGTTTACCAGTATTGAAAAGAATGGCACCAAAAGTATTCCACAGTAATCAGTAGATACATGAAATATCTTGTAGAAGGAGAAAGAACAAGAAGAAATTGTAAATGATAAGACAACAATTACTACTACTATCATGTTTGAATCACAAGTAGTTAAACTCAGCTACATGATACAGGTGTTTTTGACAAATAACTGAAACAAATATACATAACAATGAACATAGGCAGCCATCATTGAACTCCAAGAAAATAGATATCCCTCTGAAGCATTTCATCAAACACCATTCTTGCAAACCTAATCACACCAAATCCTAAACCAAAACCCGACTTCACAAAATGCATTGATCCACCAGTTCCAGTTATCAAACAATGCCCAAGAACCTTCAGCACAACAAAGAATATGAATTTATCTGGTTTTTAATCTGATTTCTTGAAACTATTTAAAGAGCTTTAGAGACTACTTGGGAATATTCTCTCATCATTGTGTTCCACGTGAAAATTCATTGAATAATGTGAGCATTATCAAAACTTGTACGTGTGAATTGGTGGGATATTTAAGAAGATAATGATATGAACTCGGAGAGATGATAGTGGTCGTAATGAATACCAAATTATGGCTCTGACAGAGCACGGCTTTTCCTCTTCCAGAAGTATACCAATTTGTGGAGTTCCTCTCAAATGTAATATCCTTACTGATCTGATAATTTGTCATTATTTTTTTGTATCTTCTTCCTAAGTTTGTTCTTCATTTTAACTATTATATTTGTCACTTCAATTAGTTTGTTTAGCTTGTTGATTATGTTTCTTTGATCTTAACAGCGATCAAGAAATGCTCACCCGAGTTGAAAATATGGGAAAAAGAACAAGTGAGACCAATAGCGCCGCAGTTGACTGTAACTTTAGTAAAAAAGTTACTAATGGCGGAATCTTTCGTCACAAACAACACCTAATTTGTACTTGCAAGGACGTCACACTGTGTGAAAAATGTCGTATGTTGTAAGGGAAGAAATGAAAAAATATGTTGATGAAAAGAATGAATAGAATTGTCAGGCTTTACGTCAATCGCATGTGACTAATATTGGTGATGATCAAGATGAAGATATGGGAGAAAAAGATGAAGCTACTGAATAATCATTTCCTTCAGAATCACAAAAATAGTCATAGAATGCAATGATCATAGAACCATTATGGTTTAAGGGGGAATACAAAAAGCTTACAAAGGACGGGAAAAGAAGTAGCTACATGCCTAGTTGATGAAAATAGGAAGATGATGCTTCTATTATTGTTGCATTCTATGACTATTTTCGTGATTTTGAAGGAAGTGATTATTCACCGTGTTCCATATTTTCATCTTTATCATCACCAATATTAGTCACATCTGATTGAAGTAAAGTCTGACATTTTTGTTCCTTCTTTTCATCAACAAATTTTTTAATTTCTTCCCTTACAGCATCCGGGGATTGTTCACACCGTGTGACATCCTTAAAAGTACCAATCAAGTGTTGTTTGTGACGAAAGATTCCGTCAGTAGTAACTTTTTTACAACCGTTACACTCAACTGCGGCCATACAAGTGTCACTTGTTCTTTTCCCATATTTCTAGCGTGAGACACCAATTTTTAATCATTGTTAAGATCAAAGAAACATAATCAGCAAGATAAACAAATTAATTGAAGTAACAACTATTAGTAGTAAAAATAAAGAACGGAGTTAGGAAGAAGATACGGTAAAAATAATGACAAATGTATTGGATCAAATTGATGATAACAAAACGGCTTAACCAAAGTGACAGAATTTGGCTTTTCACTTGCTAGCTTCATAAATTGGAACAAGAGCAGAGTATCTGAAGGAAAGTTACTGAGATATCCAAGAAAACATTGATTATTATAACTTTGAAAAGCCAAACAACAAGCAAAAACCTCACACTAAAAGCTAAATTGGAAAGAAAGCAGGAAAAACAATCATATTAATATACCTCCTGAAAGAGAGGTATGAAAAGCAAACATAAAAGCCCATTAAATTGGTCCCCCTATATGATCAGTGTCACGAACCATTTTTCGCAAAAAAATGAATTTTGGTGCATGATCTAACAACTCTTTTGAGATTTTAATTTTTTGAAGAGTCGTCACCTAACGAATTAAGGCGCGTTAGAGAACCTATCTAACCTAACTAATTCTAGATAAGGTCAATAAACAACAGATCGTGGTAAGGGTTCAATTAAATCGAGGGGAAAGTGTTAGGCATCCCCGGGGTCCATAAATGTGCGTCCCGACCGCTAGATACAAAAATCACAAGGGATGAATTATAAACTAATCTACCCCCCCCCCCCACACCAAAAAAAAAGATAAACATGATTGTAAATAATTTGATTTGTAAACATTTAAAAGAAGTAAGGTTTAAAATTCTTGACTCCTTCCAAGTTCTAGTCAAGGAAAGTTATAATAGTTTTTTACAGGAGAAGTAGAATAAATATTTAATTAGTTGAAAACTCAATGCAAGTAATTAAACTTTATATGAAATGCATTTGATATAATTGTCATTTATTAAACTTATGATCTACAATATAAGCTTTTGCTCAAGACATAAGAATTAAGAGCACTTTTGTCTCAAACTTTAAATGGAAGAAAAAAACTATCTTATTCTACTACATAGTTGAAGGGCTACAAAAACTTTTGTCCCAAACTTTTCTACTTAAAATAGAACTATTTGGTCTTTGTTTTTTGCCGGACTGTAAATTTATGAACATCGTAATATTACTACTCCTAAGTTTCTTAAATGGGTACTTCTAGGGAAGGTTTTTATAAATTGTCACACTTTGTTGACTATTGAAATTACATGGGCAGTACTCTTAAGGGTATAAATCTTCCTGGTGTTCTTCCTCCCAAACTGGTAAAGCTTTCTTACATTAAAAAAGTGTAGAATCTTTTGTATGCTACTGCCACATTTGCTTTTATTTCCGGTATAATCCAATTCAATATCCAAATTTCGATAAGCATAGTTAACTGAATTCACATATTCTCGTTTTTCACTGATTTTGCATACAATTACCTCAATGGTAGTATACCAACTGAATGGGCATCAACCCAGTTATATTCCATGTAAGCCCCATTTAATACATTGCTAATACAGTTGGCTTTTGACTTGTGACTTATAAGTCAAAAGTCATAATTTAGAATTTCTAACTTATAATTTTTGGCTTATTTTTGTTATTTTAACTTTAGAATAAATGTTTATAAGCACTTTTTTACTTTACTCAAACACTTCAAGTCTACTCAAAAGCTATTTTGGCTTAAAAACAACTAAAATAAGTCAATCCAAACGGGCACTTAATCATCAATTGTAACTGCAAATTTTTTGATCCAGCTCTGTGCTTGTGAACTAGTTGTCAGGGGAAATATCGAAGGAACTAGGAAACATTACCAGCCTTACCTATATGTATGTATCAAATTTTGATTGTCTAATTCGATTTCCAATCATCATTTCTTATGTAGCTGTCTGGACACCTTTTGAAAAAAGTTTCAGTAATAATCTTTTGAGTTGTCCAACTTCAATTTTAAATTTATGAAATTTTCTTGTAAATTCCATTAATGAGGATTCATAAGTTGCTAACTTGTAGAGAAAGAAAAGGATAGAAGAGAGAAGAAATAAAGATAAGATTACTTTTACATTGAATTGGCTTAGCTAACTATTACATTCATGTAGCTGACTATTTATAATTCAGCTTATACACATTTAGTTATCAACCTAACTATGTACAATTGTATATTCTCTAACAAACTAACTGATTCACACCACATGGTTTGTACATTGAACTTTATTGATCAACACTCCCCCTCAAGCTTATGGTTGAAACACATCCTTCATTCCAAGCTGGCTCACTAACATATTGTGTTGTACCTTTCCTAGACTTTTAGTGAGCACATCTGCAAGTTGGTCTTTAGTATTAATATGCTCAGTTTTCAACATCCCTTGACATATTTTTTCTCTAACAAAGTGACAATCAATGTCAAAATGTTTTGTTCTTTCATGAATGATTGGATTGGAAGCAATTTTAATAGTTTACTTACTATCACATATCAAGTAGGTTTATCTTGACACCTAACTCTTTGTATAGTCCTACCAACCAGGTTATTTTAGCTACACATGCAGCCATACTTCTGAACTCTGCTTTTGCTGAACTCCTTGACACGGTCTCTCGCTTCTTTGACTTCCAAGAGTCAAGACCTTCTCCAAACTTTATTGCATATCATGTAACTGATCTTCTAGTCACCACACATGCTCCCCAGTTAGAATCGCAGTAGGCTGTCAGTTTATTGGTGTCATTTGCTGGCATTAACAAGCCTAAACCAGGTGCCTCGTTAATATATCTCACCATTCTTAAAGCTGCCTCCATGTGTGATTTTTTTGGACAATGCATGAATTGACTCAATACTTGTACAGAGAATGCAAGATCAGGTCTAGTCATGGTAATGTACAAAAGTTTCCCTACTAGTCTTTGGCATTTTGTAATGTCGGCAAGAATTGTGTCACCTTCAGGAATTCCATTATTGATGTGTTCATCATACTGTATAGAAGTGAGTTTCTGATTCATCTCAAGTGGTGTGCAGGTTGGCTTTGCTCCCCCTAGCCCAGATTTAGAAATTAGCTCTAATGCATATTTTCTTTGAGACATGAGAATGCCTTTGTTGGACCTAGAAAACTCAATTCCCAGAAAAAACTTTAGTTCACCTAGGTCCTTCATCTTGAACTTCTTTTGAATCTCCTGTCTGGTGTCACAAAAGAGTTTTTGATTGCTTCTAGTAACTATAAGATCATCCACATACACTAGTACTATCACTGGGTCATAGCCAACCAACTTTGTGAATAAAGAGTAATCATAGTGACTCTGTTTGAACCCCATATCTACTAATGCTTCTGTTAGATTCATATTTAATTGCCTTGGTGACTACTTGAGTCCATATAATGACTTGTGGAGTTTGCAGACCTTTTGAGTCTCCCTATGTCTAGCAAAACCACTGGAATAGTCATGTATACCTCTTCTAGTAGATCACCATTGAGGAAAGCATTATGGACATTAATCTGATAGATGTACCACCCTTCATAAGCTGCAAGAGCAACCACTGACCTGACTGTAACCATCTTAGCCACAGGACTAAAGGTTTCACCAAAATCAATGCCTTATTTCTGACTGAACCTCTTTGCCACCAACCGTGCTTTATATCTTTCTATTTCCCCTGAAGAGAGATACTTGATATTATAAATCCATCGACAACCAATGAGTTTTTTACCAGGTGGAAGATCAACTACAAAATGAAAGAATGTCATGATTGACAAGTATGGGTCCATGTTTACCGTAAATATCAAAGAGGGCACGTAATCGTAGGAAAATTGTTCCAAGTAAGAATTTAGTTATTATAATTATATAGTGAAAGGAACACTGGCTCAATAGCTTCCATATTGATCTAGGATTTACTGGTGTCAAATAAACAACTAAATCAATCATGTACTAATATTTCCTAGGGTAGAATTGAAATGATTTAAGAAAAGATCAATTGAATTGCTATTTTATTAATAATGTACTACACAAATAAAATTCTTTATATAAAATAAGCAAACTAAAATATTTTAAACCTTAAACCAATATGTAAATAATTATTTCAAAATTTGACAACAGATAAATATAATAAAAATAATAAATTTATATACTAATAATAATTTTTATAAATTTTGAATGTTAAACTATATAATTATTTGCATATAATTACTTTAAATTTTGAACCCGTAAAATTAGGGAAAATAATTTTTGCAATACACATTAATCAAAAAGTAATCCAAAAAAGGTTATAGGTCGGTCAAAATTAGGTGTCAACAATCAAGTACAAACTATTCAACTTCTTCTATGTCTATAAAAGAATTGATTCACTATATGTAAAAATGGGCATATCACATGTAGCGGAACTTGCTTAAGAGATTTATAGAATTCACTTAGGAGACATCCTGAATCACACTTTTATGATATCAAATGAAATTGAATAAGACGGGAAAGTATTGATAAAACGGTTGGAGACCCCTTGTAGGAACAACAAGTAGAATTGTTGTGATTAATTCCTTCAACTATGAGGGAGCAATAGCGAAATGATTGGAGACATCATCGGGAGAAAGTCAAGCCTACTTATATTTTGTGCATTGCTCCCTATTCCCTATTAATAAATGCAAAATCCCTTATACTCTCCCATGGGGAAGACAAAATAACCATAGTATCATAACCAAGTTGTCCTTTCAACATTTAATTCAAAGTTTATCTCAAATAAAACTTAATTTTAAGATTTCTCGTAATTTTTCAGGTCTAAATAGCAAACATAATTTGACATGGGAATCCATTCATATGCAATCCGGACAACTAAACAGCAGGAGTGATAGACTATTAGACCAAATTACTGTTCATAATCCACCTTAGCTTGTTAGTTTTAGAATACTCATGACCATTGGAGCCACGATCTAGCTTCCTCTTTCCAAAAGTTTTGTAGGGTAAAAAGTCCAAAGATTGGTTTGCAAAAATTGGGTTTCAAAGCTCGGTTTACTGGACATGAATGTACATAGAGATTCCAGAATTTTAAAAGAAAACTAACATGCTCTAATGTATGCAAAAGTAACCAATTACAGCAGTGAGACGAGCATACCGAAATACAAGAGGCTGGGAGTGTTGCATGCATCTCAAGTGCGAAAGTTTTCCTTCTTTGTCAATTCCCCATTTTGAAGAGTGTCATCGGTACCTTTACAAGATAAATATCGAAATCTAAACCATGAAATTTTTCTTCAGTTTTACTCCCTTATTTTTCAGTACTACATGCTCCTTTCCAATTTAAAAGAGAAAAAATTCCAACCCCGAAAATTTCCATCACTGTTAATACCTGATCATTTAGGTGTGTATGCACCGCTCGCAATTTTAAAGGCTCAACACCTCATTGATCCTTTCAGATATGAACCCAAGGAACCGTTTAACAACCTATTGCATTATTGCAGCAATAAGGAAAAAGAGAAAAAGTTAGACCAGTGAACAAGTTCAAACTCCTTATTCAAGCTAATATATCCAAGTAATAGTAATACTTGTTCCTTCTTCTGGTACAAAACAAGTATTCACAATCGACATCTGGGATGAATTTTAAGAAGTTCGCCAAGAGTATTAGATCACAGATATCTGCTCAAGAGAACCACAAATACCATGGCACCAAATTTCTGAAGGTACAAACAAGGTTACAAGCTTGCATTGTTCATAAAAACGGTGACCTATTATGTGTCAGACCTATCAAAAGACGATTAACCCTTAAAAATTCCTCACAGAATAATACTTTAACTCGTTTCCACTAAGTAGTAAACTTCTCATGCTCAAAATCTACTTAGATTTTGGTAATTCTATTCACTCCCATTATAATAATCATCTTAAATAACGTCCACATAATGCTATAGAATCTCCTAGCCTTCACACACTAACCAAGTTCACAAATCATAAATAATGTACTGACCCCAGAGTATTCAGCAAATACATGAAATATCTTGTAGAAGGAGAAAGAAGAAGAAGAAGAAGAAACTGTAATTAATAAGAAAACAATTAGCACTATCATACTTGAAACACAAGTAGAGTCGGCTATATGATCCCTAATAAATTGATTGTGATAATTGGGGTGTGAAATTTGTATAAAAGTAATAACTAATATGTGTTTTTGACAAATAACTGAAACAAATATAATACCAATGAACGTAACCAGCCATCATTTATCTCCAAGACACTATATGCCTGTGAACATTTCATCAAACATTTGTCTTGCAAGCCTGATCACACCAAATCCAGCATAAAATCTCAGAAGTGTATTCTTCACATGTAAATCTGAACCGAAACCCGACGTCACAGCAATGGAAATCAACAATCTACCCGTTCCAATCATCAAACAATTCCCAGAAACCTTTAGCACAATAGGAAAGGTGAATCTATAGGGTTTTAATCAAGTTTCTTGGAACTATTTAAAGAGTTCAAGAAGTCCTACATGGAAATATGCTCTCATCATTGTGTTCCATGCGAAGATTGATGGAATAATGTGAGAATTATTGAAAATAGTACGGGTGAATTGGAGGAATATTGAAGAAGATATGAATTGGGAGAGACGATAGTGATCATGATGAATGGTTGTTTTGATGAATAGAGAATGGAGTTGGAGAAGATGAATGAATGTTTTCGAACGTTGGAAAAATGACTTTATTTGGTGGGAAATCATTTGCAAGCGTTCTACTTTAATTTTTTAATGCAAGCCTAGACTGTTGTGGAAACGAAAGGAAGGAAAAGAAACATTAATATATAAGTTAAAAAATAGTAACAGTTCATTTGGTTTAAATATAAGTTATGTTGGCTTTAGTTATGATGGAATAAGTTATACTGGGATAAGTTACCCTGGGATTAATTTTTATTGCTTGTTTGGTTTGTCATATTCAAACTTATATTCATGACATAATTTCTAAGAATAAGTTGTTTGTTTACAAAAATACTCTTTAACTTATTTTATTTTTATTTATTTTTTACATTTTCTTTGCAAGTTTAGTTGTTCATTCTTAAAAATAAAAATTTTCATCTTATTTAGCTTATATTTTTGGATGTGCATTTCCATGATTATGCCGTGTGTTTTTAAAATTAAATTTTCATCTTATCTACTTAAACATAAAACTTCCATCTTGTTTAGCTTAAATAAAATTTCTATTTTTTAGCATAAAAATAAAACTTTCATATTATTTAGTTTTTAAAATAAAAACTTCATCTTATTTAGTTTTAAAACAAAACTTCCATTTTTAAGTTTATTAAAAGTAAAAGAAATTTTATTATCAAAGTTATCTACATTTTAATTGTATTGCTTTACCTTGAGTTAGTCGTTTATTTGATGAGTACCGTGTTGTCTGGTACTGACTATCTTGCTTCTACACTTGTGTAGGGTACGAGCCTGGATCATCGTAATTATTCCTTCTTCTCTTTTACATCTGAGGCTTACTTTGGAGAGTTTTGAGGTAGTTGTTTGTCATATCGGCAGAAACATCTTACTTTTTAATTATGTTCTTGTTTTGCTCTTGCAACAAAGACAATTAGACTTGTACTTCTTTGAATCTATTATAATACTTAGAGGCTTGTACACGTAACACTAGGTTTTGGTGGTATTTTGAGTTATATTATGTCTCTCTGCATGTTTGTGTTACACTTAATTCCATATTTTTTTTAAACTTCCACATTCACCTTATCGCATTTGGCTTTAGTCTGACCTGTCCGGAGGGATAAGTCAAGTGTCATCACATCCAATTTTGGGACATGACAAAAACACACAACCAAGTATAAATTACTGCCTTGCCCTCATCTAGAAGCACGCATGTAGTCCATGACATGCTTCCTAACCTCTTACTACGAGTAGAAATAATAAAGTATTCCTTGAAGTAAATAGAGTTTCCGAGGAATAATCATATAATTTGGCCCATTTTTCGCTCCACACACTTACGTATTGGTGTCAAATATGGCTTGAAAATTGGTGGTCCACCTAATTCATCCAAAATCTTGAGCACGAGATAACTTCATATTGGGTTGACCCTCTTAATCTAACCAAAATAACTCATTTGTAACTTTATCTCTAAATTTTGTCAAACTCAAGCACATTCTAAAGATTTACTTTAATTTGGGTTTACTGCTAAAATTTCATTTTGATTTTTAATATGGATCAGGGTTGATTCTCGAGATCTAGTCGAGACTAAAGGTTAGGTTAGGTTTTAGGTTTCAAATCTCGAGGATTGGGTCTCGGGTTAAGGTCAGAGTTAGATATCAAATCATTCTAGTGGATAAGTGCTCGAGTTCCTAGTTGAATCTCGAGTTAGTGTCGAAGGGTCTCGTGGTTTCGGCCTCGGGGCTTGGGTCAGGATCATGTTTTTGGTGTCATGTCCCAGTAACTAGGTCGAGGCCGAGGATTAGGGCTTAGACCCTCGGTCTCAAGGCTCAAATCTTGATTTAGGTTTAGATTTCGAGTCAGGTTAAGAGTCTTGGTTCAGGGTAAAGACTCGAGTCGGAGTCCCAAGTCAGGTTTGGACCAATTAGACGGTGTCCTAATGAGAATATCCTCAAGTAAAACCTTGATGCTTCTTGTGAGAAATATAGGAAAAGAATATTATTAAATTGTTGTTGTTTCTACATTAGGACCTATTTATAGACCCTAGAATACAATCCTTTGCCAAGTAGGATACTATTTGGTATTCCTATTCCTATTCTAATAGGATAGTATAAATATATTCCTATTCTAATAGGATTGTATAAACCTATTCCTATTCTAACACTCTCCCTCAAGCTAGTGCACACAATTCATGTACCTAGCTTGTTACAAATGTAATTAACACGAGGATCGATAAGGGGCTTGGTGAGATATCCGCAAGTTGATCAGTCGACTTCACAAAATTGACAGTCAATCTCAATGTGTTTGTTTTCTCATTAAATACTGCATTTGATGCATTATGTCAGTAAACACAAAGATAAAATTCCAGAATTGAACTTCCCAAACAAAACCTGCAAAGACTGCTTAACCATAGAGTGACTCACATTTGACATACAAGGTTACTGAACTCCCCTGAGCAACAAAGTGCTCAAAACCTAGTAAAAAGTACCATGTGAGAGATATGAAAAATAATATTATTGAATTGTCATCATTTCTACATTATTACATTGAGACCTATTTGTAGACCCTAAAATACAATCCTTTACCATGTAGGATACTATTTAGTATTCGTGTTCCTATTCTAATATGATTGTATAAACATATTCTTATTCTAATAGGATTGCATAAACCTATTCATATTCTAACACTTCTTTTGACCTTACTTTGGTAGGAGCAGAGTCAGACATGCTAGTCCATGATTCTCAAGGAAACTTCATGAGAGGTCCCTCTAGTTGATTAGATACGCCTCATGACTCCCTTGTGGTTGAGGCTTTGGTTGTTCAAGAAGCAGTAAACTCGCTAAAGGAAAATTTTTCATCAATAACATGCATTGTGGAGATCGATCAGAAAAAATCTTACAACTCCTAGTTTTTTTATATTATTATTCGAGATTGTTTAGTACTCATGCGTGGCTTTACTTCTATTCCTCATCTTTTGTTAAAAGACCAGAGCAAACCAATGTGCCCATTAGCTAGCTCGGGCTTTAGGTTCCTTGTCTACTGCTATGGAGAGGAAAATAGATCCCCCATTTTTAATTCATGATCTACTAAACATTCCTTTGATTAATAATTGATTAAAATGCGGAAGAAAAAAGATGTAACGTTTCTCATACATCAAAAACCTAATTCATATTCGAGAAAAATGAATCGATACACCAGCATATCAATGTTGAAACAATTAAATTTATGCATGTTAAATAATGATAATGGTTGTTCAGACATTTGTTGATTGCTTTTACTTGTGGATAGAACCCCATTCTAACATATAGACATACCTTCTAGAGATTCTCAAATTTCTTCACACGGCTCCACCAGATGTCAGGTTCTCCATGTTGATAGATCACCTTCTCCCCGTCCCAGCTAGCTCAACCTTTCTAACATGCGTGAATAACATTTCATGTCTCATCTCATATAAGGATCGTCACCATTCAAAAGAGGAGAAGTCTTCAAAATGATGACAACAAGACAGGATCAGCTTGAGATCGCAAGCCTGCTACTTCCAATAATTTAGAGTGCTGGATGATCTCAAATGAAATACATTAGCAATCCAGTACGGTATATTGTTCATGAACGAATAGGAAACGCAAAACTTTTTCATATGCAAGTGATGTAATACACAGCGAAGAGGTTTCCACCAAGCTAGGTTCATCTGATATTGGCAGTAACAGCATTATACAAATGAATGGATCCTTAAGTTTAAGCAGATGAGACCAGAAGAACCTTAATTAAATATTGAATATGTATTTCAGTCAAGTGGTTCTTTCTTGTTGTGATAAATATCCAAAGTTTACCTCACTAACCCATGGCAGTTAAGTATTCTAAGAAAAGCTTAGTCATACCAAAATCATGGAATGTGAAGGACATGGAGAATCGACAGATACAGAGTACACAGAGCATCACCCTTTTCTGATGGCTTTAAGTCAAGCTCCAAAAAATAACATGCAAATGGATGTGTGAGTGATTATACTTTCAAAGCATTTAGGGGAATACCTTAAAAGCAGACACATGCTGATATAGGTGCAATGGAAGTCAGATGATTTTTCATGCTCTCTTTTCATAGATTATATCAACCCAAATGTACTTGCTACTTTGAGTAGTACAACTACCAAAGCTTCGTTTCCATATTTTGCTTACAACAAAACCTACTCCAGCATGACATGTTCACTGCTTTCTTCTCCTTCATTTCAGAAATTCCAATTAAACTAACAGATAAATGAAGATACCACTTGGTTTAATTTAAATTTCCAGAGCTCAAAGCGAAAGACTTGAGCCTTGACATCATAAAAGATTTTGAATTTGTTTAACATGGGAATACCTCATAGTTTTTAACCAAAGTTTCAGGCCATGCTGAGGTGCCACTTTAAGGGCATCCCAACTTCTGAATAGAATTCCAAGATTAACCTTAACCATATATTTTTGAAAAGAAAGAGTAGCTTATGGAGAAAACAAATCATTTACCGGTATCAAAAAGAATGGCCCCAAATGAGGTAGAATATAGGAGACTCATAAAGATGATCCCAACTAGTCCAATATCTAGGCATGATTGATTGTTAGAAATAATTTGAGAAGGATAACAGAGTTGTAGCTCTGACAGAGCATGGCTTTTCCTTGTCCAGAAGTATACCAATTTGTGCAGTTCCTCTTAAATGTCATATCCCATGACCTACAAATCAAAATCACTTCACAATGTAATCTTCATTTTTCAAGTTATTCAAAATTATGCAAGAACAATAGGAACTTCAGTGTGACCCTCTTCCAATGGTCAAAGAAACAGCTCCCCTGAACTTGTACCTCATTACCCAAAAAGAAGCAATTCATTTTCCTCCACCTTGATAGTGTTCTCTCGTCTTTGGAATGTAACATTGACTTCATTCCTGTGATTTGAATTGCCTCTTCTATTGGCATAAACACAAAACATTACTACCAGATCCTTCAACTGCTTCCTTCGGCAAGACTATCAAGTGACTGCACCCAACTGCTACCAGGATATTTCTTTATCCCTTTTACTTTCATAGACGATCTTAGGCTGTTCGCATCGCTGCAATTACCAAAAAGATGAGACAAACTAGATGCAAGTACATAGTTTGATCCGAGATCAGGCTCTATTTTGAGGAGAATCTCCCTTATATTTTCTTCTGCACAAGGAATATGACCATGATGCTTACAAGCACTAATGAAACTCCTCAATATCACAGAATTAGGCTCTGTAGGCATGCTCCTTATAATATCATAAGCTTCTTCTAATTCTCCAGCACGTCCATACATATCCACCATGCATCCGTAATGTTCCATAGTTGGCCTGATGTCATAAATACTTGCCATTTTTTCAAAATATTCACGGCCCGCATCAACAAAGCCATTATGACTACAAGCATATAAGATTGCAGAAAATGATAAGCTATCCGGCCTAAAGCCAGACTCTTCCATTCTGGCAAACAAGGACATAGCTTCTTCTCCATGTCCATGATCAGCAAGACCAGAAATCATGATGGTCCAAGTCTGCAGATTTTTATCATCCATCGAATTGAATATGCGGAAAGCCTGCTGTATATGACCACATTTTGCATACATCCCAAGGAGGGCTGTTTCCAGCTCAACATGTAGTTCAATACCACTGGTAACAATGTGCGAGTGAATACATTTACCTAATCCGATATTCAGGATATGAGTACATGCCCCCAGCAAGCTAACCAAAGTGACAGAATTTGGCTTTTCATTTGCTAGCTTCATACATTGGAACAGGAGCAGAGCATCTGAAGGCAAGTTACTGAGATATCAAGGAAAACATTGACTATTATGACTTTGAAAAGCCAGACAGAAAGCAAAAGCCTCACAGTAAAAGTTAAACAGGAAAAGAAAGCAGGAAAGACAATCATATTAAAAGGCCTCCTACACAAAAAGAGAGGTCAAGGTAGCAAATATTCATCTCCATGCCAAAAAGGGATGAAAAGCGAACATAAAAGCCCATTAAACTGGACCCTCTATATGATCAGGTACAAACTATTCATGTTTTTCTATGTTTATAAAAGGATTGATTCACTATATGAAAAAAAATAAGCATATCACATGTAGCGGAACTTGACTTAAGAAATCTATAGAATTCACTAAGGTGACATCCTGAATCACACTTTTATGATATCAAATGAAATTGAATAAGACAGGAAAGTATTGACAAAACGATTGGAGACCCTGCAGAGAGAACAAGTAGAATCATTGTCATTACTTCAACTATGAGGAAGAATAGCAAAATGTTTGGAGACTTCATCAGGAGAAAGTCAAGCCTGCTTATATTTTGTCTATTGCTCCCTATTCCGTATTTAAAAATGCAAAGCCCCTTATACCCTCCCATAGGAAAGACAGAGTAACCATAGTATCATTATAAAGTTGTTGTCCTTTCAATGTTTAATTCAAAGTTTATCTCAAAAGAAACTTAATTTTAGGATTTCTTTTTTCAGATCAAAATTGCAGACAGAATTTGACATGGGAATCAATCCATGTGCAATCCGGAAAACTAAACAGCATCAGTGTTAGACTATTACACCAAATTACTGTCCATAATCCACCTTAGCTTGTTAATTTTAGAATACTAATGACCATGGAGCCACGAACTAGCATCCTCTTTCCAAAAGTTCCATAGATAAGAAGTCCAAAGAATGGTTTGCGAAAATTGGGTTCCAAAGCTCAGTGGTTTATTGGACATGAATGTACATAGAGATTCCAGAACTTAAAAAAGAAATAACTAACATGCTCTGATGTATGCTAAAGTAAACAAATACAGCAGCGAGACCAGCATACCTCAATACAAGAGGCTGGGAGTGTTGCACGCATCTCAAACGCATCTCAACCATGCAAGTTTTCTTTCTTTGTTAGTTCCCCAGTTTAAAGAGTGTCAGCGGGACCTTTCCAAGATAAATACTGAAATCTAAACCATGAAATTTTTCCTCATTTTTACTCCCTTATTTTTCAGGGGTACATGCTCCTTTCCAATTTAAAAGAAAAAATTCCAACCCCGAAAATTTCCTTTATTGTTAATCCCTTATCATTTAGGAATGTATGCACCGCTCACAATTTTAAAGGCTCAACAATTATTGATCCTTTCAGATATGAACCCTAGGCATTGTTTAACAATCTATTGAAGTATTGCAGCAATATGGAAAACGAGAAAAAGTTAGACTAGTGAACAAGTTTGGAACTCCTTGTTCAAGCTAATATATCCAAGAAATCGAAATACTGGTTTCTTCTTCTGGTGCAAAACAAGTATTCACAATCGACTTCTGGGATGAATTTTAAAAGGTTCACCAAGAGTATTCGATCACGGATATCTGCTCAAGAGAACCACAAATACATGGCACCAAATTTCTGAAGGTACGAACAAGGTTACAAGCTTGCATTGTTCATAGAATCTGTGACCTATTATGTGTCAGACCTATCAAAAAGATGATTAACCCTTACAAATTCCTCACAGAACGATACTTGAACTCGTTTCCACAAAATAGTAAACTTGTCATGCATAAAATCTACTTAGATTTTGGTTATTCTATTCACTCCCATTATTTTTTGACAGAGGTAACAGTTATTCACTCCAATTATAATAATCATCTTAAAGAACTTCCACATAATGCTATAGAATCTCAGCCTTCACACACTTGCCAAGTTTACATATCATAAATAATCTACCGATTCCAGAGTAATAAGTAGATACATGAAATATCGGTTAGAAGGAGAAAGAAGAAGAAACTGTAAATAATAAGACAACAATTACTTCATGCTTGAATCACAAGTAGTTAAAGTCAACTATATGATCCCTAATACATAAATTGTGATAATTTGTAATGAATTAGCCCCAGCCCAATAGGGATACCAACAAGGATATCACACAAATAGATATTGGGCTGAGTAAAAGCAATCGGGCCAGGCCTGCACAAAGGATAATTTGGGATCCAGACTGAGGGTACGTTTGTTGTAGTTAAATAGATTAGGGCATCACTATCAGAGGGCATTGAATGAATTATGTGCAAATGCATTTCTGTGTTCTCATCCCCAATTCTAGAGTCTAATTTTCTCATCTCCCTTGTTACCTATATCCTTAGTTACTTGTTATTTCAATAATTTCATTGTTTTTCGGTAGTTTGAGTATTTCAATCACAATTCTAAAGTTGTATTGTGTTTTAATTCTCTTCTTAATATAGTGAAGAATTCGGGTTTGCTACATAAAAAAATAATTCATACTTATTTTTGACGAATAAGTGAAACAAATATACATACCAATGAACGTAAGCAGACATCATTGAACTCCAAGAAACTATATCCCTCTGAAGCATTTCATCAAACACCTGTCTTGCAAACTTGATCACACCAAATACAGCATACATTCTCAAAAGAGTATTGTCCACATGTAAATCTGAACCAAAACCCGACTTCACAGCCATCGAATGCAATGATCCGCCAGTTCCTATCATCAAACAATGCCCAGAAACCTTTAGCACAACAGGGAATGTGAATTTATCTGGTTTTAATCCGATCTTTTGGAACTGTTTGAAGAGCTTCAGAGACTCTAATTGGGAATATGCCCTCATCATTGTGTTCCATGCGAAGATTGATGGTATGATGTGAGAATTATCGAAAAATGTACGGGTATATTGAAGGGATATTGAAGAAGATAATGATATGAATTGGGAGAGACGATACTCATCGTGATGAATGGCTGTTTTGATGAATAGAGAATGAAGTTGGAGAAGATGAAGCATTGTTTTTGAACGTTGGAAAAAACATTCAATTTGGTGGGAAATCATTTTGCATAATTTTTGTGGAAACAAGGGAAGGAAAAGAAACTGTGATATACCCGTACATAATTATTTGATTATTTGATTAAATAAATTGGAAAAGGGCCATATTGTCCTTGTACTCTTAGAAAAGAGTTATTTTTTATTCTTTGTTATACTTTTTGTTGATATATTTGTCCTTCTTTTACAGTTAAATATTGTATCACCATTTTTATTAATTTATGTGGCTCCTACGTAACTCCATGTGTATATATTTTATTATAATTGTAATTTTATTTTCTATCTAGTGAATTATCCGACACATTTATACAATCCAACTAAAATAAAAATCCATAATCCGACTCCAATATCCATTAGCCCATAATTTATATGTCTATCATCTTGCAACACTTTGTAGAGGAACTTCAATCACATGTTGATTGAGACTATTTGAGAGAGAAGATTCAATAACAGGTAAGAGTAGTTTTATCATTTAATCTTTTCTTGATTCTTTTTGTATCGTTTTGATTTTTTGAATCTTTTTAAAATCTGGACAAAAGATCTCAAAATATGTATATATCTTTTTTTATTGCAATTAGGATTCATCAATTTTAGCATTTATAAATTTGATAATTATAGAGCTTGTTATTTTGTCTATTTTATGTTTTTGTGTATTCTACCTCTTTACTCTATGATAGAAATTAGGGTTGTCAAATTTTGATACTTATGGGAATTTTGATAACTGTTAATTTATGTTTTTGGCGTTTAATGATTCAGATCCTATTGAATATAAATTTAAACTGAATTGCTGGTTGTATATGGGTTATTCATTTGTTTTTAATGTAATTTTTGTCCTCTAAATAAATAACACAATGTAAATATTATAATATTACTAAAGACTCTTTTATTTTTTTCATGGTTTGTGATCCTTAATCTGTTATTATTTTGTGGTCACATAAGCTCACTTGATTTGAAGTTAAGCTTTGAATATTTCAATGGAATATTCATATATGAAGTTTATCCACAGTCAAATACAAGCACTACATTATATTTACATACACGTATTAGCATTATCAAGAGATTATTTCTTAAAATGCAACCAAAACTACCATCTGCAAGCAATTTTAATAAAGTATAATTCTAAATGATAACAAAAATAGCTAATAAAGAGAGACAAAGGGAAGAGTCTATCTAATTGTCCAAAGTAACTCTTTTGCAATGTACCACTTTTTTTAAAAAAAAAACATAAGGAAAAATATGTTAGTTTTTTCTCATAACTTTACAAGAATGTACAAGTATTGTACACTACAGTGTTCATAGTAAGTATTTCCTAGCTAATGAATGATCTCATTTATTTGTCATCACTCTACATGTGAAGGAAAAAGAAAGAATTTCACAAATATATCAGAAAGGGTTTAGGGAAAATTTTAGAAATGGAGACCTCCATTTCTGTTAGTAATCAAAATGGGGAGAAAGGAAGAAAAGAAGATAAAACAATGCACATTTATGCTTATGTTTACTCCATCTGTGAATATTTTCTCTTCCGCCTTACTTTTAAATTCCTAATTTTGGCGTCTACTCTAGCTGTGAAACCAGATTTGTCTTCTGGCTTGCTTTGGTTTGTTGTCTCTTTCACATAGATTCATCTTAAACGTCTTTTTTATTAGAAAACTTACATAAATATACTATAATAATAAAATATTTACCATTTATAGCAATAATTTTTTTTTCACTTGACAATTTTTAATTCTTTTATAATACAAGTTTAATACATATTACAAAGAATAATTTATTATTCACATATAATATAAGTTTTAATGATAGATAATACATTTATCACACATTTTAATACACTTATAATGCAATGTGATAATTTTTTACCAAACAAACATAATATATTTCAAAAACAATTTAATTCAAATATATTGCATACATAATTCACTTTTAATACATATTATAGATTTATCACAATATTGCTATAAATGATAATAAACAAAAATTATCACTAATATCAGTAATTATTTTTTAAAGTGTATACGTTTTTGTAATTTTTCCTTCTTATAATACTTGATTTTTTGAATAATGTTACTTTTTTCCTTGATAAGTAGTACCAGTGATCTAACATTATACTATACAATACTATAAGAAGACAATTACAATTTGAAAACCATTCTTCAGTAGCCAAATGAACAAATAGAGTGATAAAACCTCATATACATCGATGCTTCTTCATTTACGCTATATGCAATAATGATTCTTCTCAAATCTTAATTAGATGAAAAACCTTCATGCGAAAGCCAAAAGCTTATTGAGCTTGATATAAATGAAATAGATGATGATCACCTAAGTTGCTCGTCAATCCTTCAAAAGTACACTACTATACCAAACCATTTACTTAATACACAACATTAACTATAATATGTCATATACATCTCTTTTTTTGTTTTATTTTATAGCATATTAAAGATGGCCTTGGTGGATGTAATCTTCAATTACTGTTCAGTTTCTTTCATTTTACTTCTGTCCAAAACTTAAAATTGAAGAATTGTCCAGTTCCTATATCACAAATTTGGTCAGAAGTAAAATGAAAGCATCAGACAAGTTTTTCATTCCAGTCTGGACATTACTAAAATGAAAAAATAGAAATTCATTTTTTGCTAATTTTTATCGTATAGAGATTAGTTCAAGCAATGAAGAATGTGTTTCCTGAATCACATCACAGATTTTGTGCGAAACATGTTGAAGCAAACTGGTGCAAAACATGGAGGTCAGAGGAACTGCAGAAGGTATTTTGGTGGTGTTCATGGACAACCACATATGAGGAAGATATCAAAGACAAACTCAATATGATTGGTTCTTTAGATAAAACAATAGCTCAGGATTTACTGAAATATCCTCCCAATGTGTGGTGTAGAGCTTATTTTGACATCGTGTGCAAGAACTATGAAGTGGTTAATAATTTCACAGAATTGGTGAATAAATGGATTCTAAGCTAGAGGCAAACCAATCATCAAAATGCTTGAAGAAATAAGAACTAAAGTCATGAACCAATTGAGGAAAAGGGAGGATGAAGTGAGATTATGGGCTACTGAGTTTAGCCCAAAGAGTGTGCAATTGTTCAATGACTACATGAAAATTGCTCAAAAATGTAAGGTAAATTTCAATGGTGATTATGGATATGAGATCACAGAAGGTTGTGATAGGCATACTGTAAATATGATTTTGAAGAGATGTACATGTAGGCAATGGGATCTAAATGGAATTCCATGCCCACATGCAATTTCTACAATGTTGTACAACAAGTTGGACCCTTCGAGTGAAATGAGTTGGTGGTGTAGAAAGAGGCATTCCTGCGTACCTATAGGCACAAATTGCAACTTATTAGAAGTGAAAATTTTTGGAAGGTGGATCTACATCAAGCAATGGAACCACCTCACCTAGTGAAGATGGTTGACAGACCCAAAACTAAGCTGGTCAGAAAAAGATGAGGCAATTAAGAGGCAAGGGGAATGGGCAAATTAAAGAAAGGGGAGAGTTATGACATATAACAATTGCGGAGAGCCAAACCACAACAGTAAAGGATGTAAAAAGGTAAAATATTTTCAATGTTAATAGCAACTTACTTTTTTCCTGAAGTTTTATTTCTAACTTGTATTTCTTACTTGCAATAGCCTGTCAATACAAGGCCAATGAAAATGAGCAGGAAATTAATTGATGAACTTGAAGAGATAAATCTAATAGCACCTCAATTAAGACCAAGCATTTCAAATCAAATTCCAAATTTTGAGTTATTTGAAACTTCAAAACAAAGATCAAGCAAGCCAGATGATACTACATTGCAACATACCATTCATCCAAATTTGACAATCAACTTCCCAAATCATGATTCAGATCCTACTATAAGGCCAATGATAGTGTCAGAAAACACAATATTCCGAGCCAGGCAAGAGGGATCAATTCCTTCATGAACAAGGATTATAAACTTTGTTGGTGATCACAATGGAGTGAATGTCCCTTCAAATCTTCCCTACTCACCAACCAACCTAACATGGAAGGGAAAAACTGCTATAACTGAAGGTCAATTGGAGATGCAAAATAGACAAAAAATTAAGAAGCTGAAGCCAAGAAAAGGACAAAAGTGATCTATTGGGTTGAAAACTTTTTGTTGTCATGGAGTTTAATTACTGACTATGATATACTTTTTAGTTAATGTCTTTTCAGTTTACTTTTTTTTGTGGTAAACGTTGAACAGGAATATCACATTTATCCCACTTTTGTATATCAAAATATGTGTTTGTATTTGTGCACAAACAAAAAGAGAATTAAATATTTTCATGCATTAGATTCAGTGTAAAAAGTGCTTTCATAGCTTCAATTAATTTACTCTTTTTGTTGTACAATTCATAAAAGATGAGCTTAGTCTTATAGTTTAGTATGTATCTCACTTTGCGTAGATACGTGTGTGGATTAGCATGTGAGGATTAGTTAGGTGGTTGTGTGGATTGTTTCTCTATTTCATTATATTCTTCAATTTTCATGTAATTATTTTGGCTTATGTCAAACAAAATACATATAATTTTGGTTTATTCAAGTAAAACAATTGTCTAAACAGAGTAAGAAGTTCCACATAACAGAGCTCTATTATGTTGAAGTAGTTGTTTGCATGTTTTTTTACTGCTTTCATTGTGGTTGTAGTCTCTGCACTCTAGTCAGACTACAAGCTATGCAGAAGGATCATATGGGAATCAAATATGCAAAACAACTATAACCTTTAACTCCAGAACTCACAAAGCAAGCATAGTGTAAAATGCGACATAATTTCTTCTCCATTTTTAGTTTTCGTTAAGAAGTTTAATCTGCTTGAAGCATCACATGTAGTAATTGGAAGGGACATATCAACTATCCTCGACTACACTAACGTTCTAGTAGAAGTTGATAACGATATATTCCCTCTTAGATGGAAAAATATAAATGATAATACATTTATATGACTATAGAGCTCTCCAACTTCACATCTGAAACTTCTTGCAAGATTAAACATGAATTTAGTTGAGTAAAATAATTTCATATTATTTTAGTGGTTTAGCAGCAACATGTTTTGGAAGTTAGGCCTGGTAACTCAATCCCAAACACGTTAACTAATCTAGAGATATCGTGAATGTCCTCTGTTAGGATCGAATTCACGCACACACACTAGATGAATGAAGAACACAAGAACTTTCAAGAGAAAGAGATGAGAGATCTAGAGAGAGAAAGAGAAAACTCAATATTTCGTGGTAAAACCCCGTGAGTAAACTTTCACGGCGGTGAGGTATATTTATATTAATAAATCAGAGTATTTTTGGTTACAGAGAATAAATAGGAAAACCTAAAATAGAGAATAAATAGGAAAACCTAAAATTAATCAGACTCCACTACCTAACAATTCTCCCACTTGGAGACTGACTTAGTCATCCAAAAAATACATTCTCAAAAAAATTCTCTTCATCATCAACATCTTTACCGCACCGCAACATCTGTAGCAACAACTACAGAAGACCAACCGAGGTTTTACATAACCTCAGTTTCCCAACATCAACACATTTCGTCAACATGTCTGTCGGTTTCTTTGCACCCTCTATCTTCTCCAAGCACATATCACCATCCTCCACTGCCCTGCCAGTGAAATGGTATCGCCTTCTGATGTGCTTTGTGTTCGAATGATAGGCTGGATTTTTCACCAACTGTATGACACTCTGGCTATCTGAGTAAAGAATCTTCTCGCTCTGCTTCTTGCCCAATTCCTCAAGATAATCTGTCAGCCATATCATCTCTTTCCCAACTTCAGCTATTGCCACATACTCAGCTTCAGTAGATGAAAGAGAAACACACTTCTGAATCCTGGACATCCAACTCACTGTTGTTCCACCTATGGTGTAAATGTACTCGGATGTACTCTTGCTCGAGTCAACATCCCCACCGAGATCAGCATCCACAAAACCCTGTAGAGTCACCTTGCCTTTGCCAAAACAAAGTGAAGTACTGGATGTACCTCTCAGATATCTCAGAAGCCATTTCACAACTTTCCAATGCTCTTTCCCAGGGTTCGCCATGTACCTGCTAACTACTCCCACTGCATGTGCTATATCAGGTCTAGCGCATACCATAACATACATCAAACTACAAACTGTTGAAGCATATGGAACAAGTGCCATGTGATCACGCTCCTCGGCAGTCTTGGGTGACTGCTCCTTTGACAATTTAAAGTGATTTGCCAATGGAGTAGTCCTGGGTTTAGCATCATTAACCCTGAATCTGGTCAGCACCTTCTCAATGTACAACTCCTGAGATAGATTTAAAGTGCCAGCAGATCTATCCCGAGAAATCTTCATCCCCAAAATCTGCTTTGCTGGACCCAAATCTTTCATCTCAAGCGCTGCAGACAACCTTGTCTTCAGATTGTTAATCTCCCTCATACTAGATCTTGCAATCAACATATCATCCACATACAAGAGTAGAAAGACATATGAATCAGTGTATTTCTTGAAGTAACAACTAGGATCCTTTTCAGCTTTGCAGAATCCACTCTTGGTCATGAAGGAGTCAAACTTCTTATACCACTGCCTTGGTGCTTGCTTTAGTCCATACAAGCTACTGGTGAGCTTGCACACCATGTGTTCCTTGCCTGGAACCACAAATCCTTCCGGTTGCTGCATATAGATCTCTTTGTCCAGATCTCCATGTAAAAATGCTGTTTTTACATCCATTTGCTCTAGATGCAAATTTTTTGATGCAACAATACTCAACAGAATTCGAATAGAGGTTAACTTCACAACAGGAGAGAACATTTCAGCATAATCAATACCTTTCCTTTGTGAATATCCTTTAACCACTAAACGAGCCTTGAACCTTCTTTTGCCATCTGGTTCAGTCTTGATTCTGACAACTAGTAAGAAGACAACGAGAAATATACCAAAAGACATAAAGATTTAACGTGGTTCGATCAATCGACCTACATCCACAAATGAGATGAGCAATCCACTATAAATATGAGAGTACATAATACAGAGAGAAACAACCTCAACCAATTCACTCGGAATACATGGGAGGTTCAGACAAGTGATAACGTATCAAGCTTGTGACCCATAAATTCTCCCCCTAACCAAACTCTCAAAGCTCTTAAGACTACATTGTGAATGCTGATTAAATTAGAAGGAACATGTCTCTATTTATAGAGTCCTAAACATTTTCCTATGATAAAAGGATTAGTCAATCCAAAATATTTTCCTACAAGGAAAACCTATTTATGGTAAGAAATTTAGGGCGAATAAAACCCAACAAATCTCCCCCTTGGCCTGAATTTTCTGACAAAATAAATTTGTCCACCTTCTTGACTTAATCTTCAACAACTTGCTTCTCCTCTCCATAATTTTCTTTGCAAAGTTTATGTCTCAACACAAAGAATCTCTCTGAAACAATTTCTCCAACAAAATCTTCATTACTGTCAAAAAGGTTACTGCTAGAACTACACCGTCAAGATGAGCACATCTTTCAAACCTGGTTCAATCATCGATTATCGAGCCACTGAACCTGACTCCGTCATTGAATCTGGCTCTGATACCACTTTTTTAGCAAAGCTCTCTTCCCTGCAGGTAACTCAGTCAACACCCAAGTGTCGTTCTTCTCTAGTGACCTCATCTCATCATCCATGGCTTGCTCCCACTTGATCGAATCCTCCACCTGTAGGGCCTCATCAAAAGACTCTAGTTCCCCCTCATCAGTCAGCAATAGATAGTGTAATGAAGGTGAATACCTATCTGGTGCCCTGATGGATTTGAATGATCTCCTTAACACCTGCTCAGGTGTAACTTGCTCCACTTCAGATTCTTCAGTAGGAGTTGGTTGAGTATCTGCTTCGACATCTCTGGGTTACTCTTCTCCAACTCAACCTCAACTCCCACTTGCTTTGTAATCTCTAGAACCTTCTGTTCTCTGTCCTTGTACAGGACAGACTCATCAAATGTCACGTCACAATGTCTCAGGATCTTTTTGTTCTTGTCATCCCAAAACCTGTAACCAAACAAATCAGAACCATATCCTATGAAGTAACACTTCACAGCCTTGGCATCAAGCTTGTCTCTTTTTTCTGGATCAACATGAACATAAGCAGTGCAACCAAAAGTCCTCAAGGTTGTGTACTTGAGTTCTTTTCCTATCCACACCTCATCTGGAATCTTGAATCCTAAAAGAATTGATGGTCCCCTGTTGATCAAGTATGCAGTTGTTCTCACAGCATCCGCCCAAAGTGTTTTGGGCAGCCCACAGTGTATCCTCATACTCCTTGCACGCTCATTCAATGTTCTGTTCATCCTCTTAGCAATTCCATTCTGCCTTGCCTTACCAGGAGCTGTTCTCATCAATCTGATTCCCTCAGCTGCACAAAATGCCCTGAACTCTGATTTGTCATACTTTCCTCCATTGTCAGACCTTAGGTATTTGACTTTCAAACCGGTCTGATTCTCAACTTCAGATTTCCACTTCTTGAAAGTTGCAAACACATCTGACTTATGCTTCAAGAAGTAAACTCATACCTTCCTGCTGAAATCATCAATGAAGGTAACATAGAATCTGGATCCTCCAAGTGATGATACTGGAGATGGTCCCCAAACATCTGTATGGACCATTTCCAACCGCACTTTCTTTGGCTCTCTAGTAGTCTTTGTGAAGCTTACTCTTTTCTGTTTGCCTATAACACAGCTCTCGCAAAGACCCATATCAACAGACTTCAGACCCTCTAATGCTCCTTTTGCAACCAGTTCTTCATTCCTTTAGTACTCGTGTGTCCAAGTCTGTTGTGCCACAGACATGAACCGAAAGCACCTTCAGCAACAACGGCCATGTTTATACACCCGGCAGTGGTGTACAAGGTTCCAGATTTGGTGCCACGAGCTACTACCATAGCACCTTTCACGATCTTCCACGAACCATTCCCAAACTCTGTTGCATATCCCCTGCTATCCAACTGACCAACAAAGATTAGATTTTTCTTGATCCCAGGAATATATCTGACATCCTCCAATGTCCACTGGTTTCCCGAGGTGGTCTTTATGCAAACATCCCCCTTTCCTTCAATCTCTAAGGCTTTATTGTCAGCAAGATATATTTTTCCAAAATTTCCAGATTTAAAGTTTTGGAACAACTCCTTGCTTGGAGACGAATGGAAAGATGCACCAGAATCCAAAATCCATGATTCAACTGGGCTGTTCACACTAAGGATTAGAGCATTCCCAATGTCCTCTGCTGAATTTACAGAATCATTG